CCAAAAAAAAAAAAAAAAAAGTCAAATTCCTATGTAGTCAAGTGCATGACTACCTCTATTTTATTTTGTTGGTTGGTTGGTTTGTTTTGGTACTGGGATCAAACTCAGGACCGTGCACTACCCCTATTTTTAAACCAGCCCCACTACAGTGGGCTTTTCCTGTACAGCTGTGTGAAATAAATCCCTACAGCAACTGCAAGGGCAGGATGTCTGCCCAAACAGCCTTCACACGATGGGAAGGAAGAAGGAAACACTGGGGAGAGGCAGGAATAGGAGACCCCACTACAAAAGGATCTTGCCATCCAAGAGATGATAACGTCAACTGGACACAGTAGCTCAGTGATGCTAAGCTGATATCAGGGGATGACAAAGACTCAGAATCTTGCGAATAGGTGAAGAAAGTGGAAGCCATGCAAGGTTCTCACAGGCTGAGGGGTTTCAAGAATGACTTGTGGCTATGAAATACCTACAGAATATTCAGCGGGGCACTCTAATGCTAAAGCAGAAGTGGAACGATCAGAACGGGACTAAGACCACAGCGATGCCGGGCACACAGGCATTGTGAGCAAACAGAGAGCAGCGGTGGCTGGGAGCCAGGCACTGTGCTGAGCTCACTTCATTCACAGCAGCTCACTTACACCTCACGAGCACCGCAGAAGGTCTGTCTAGAAGCACTCCCACCTAAGAGATGAGAACAAGAGCAGAGCACAAGTCGTGCAAAGGCATGCGCCCCCCCGCCTCCTCCATCTTGATCCTCAGACTATCCCGGGGCCTAGAACAGCAGCTGACTCACACGTACATGTTTATTTCTTGAATAAATGAAAACAGAGGCTACTTGTCCTGCCTTATAAGGAACAGGCCCAGGACCAGAGTCTGCTGCAGGCTCCCAGTGCCCACCCTAGCTCAGCTTCCTACTTTCTGCTACGCAGAGCGGAGAACACCAGCTAAAAAGTCGGGAAGAAATCGCCTGGCACTCAGACAGCGGCACCCACAGTACACTGCTCGGTGTCTGCATCTTCTACTCTTCAGCACTGCCAGTGCCACTCAGGACCTGTAGTCTGGAGCGGTCCTTCAAGAGCCCAGTGACTACAGAAAATGGGAAAAGGGGCAGCCCAAGCAGGGCAGAGCACAGGGCAGCCCAAAATGCTCAATACGCAGAATTTCCTAAAGCTGTGACAGTCCCTGGAGCCTAACAAATTAACCAGAGTTGCAGCCCCTTGTTCATCACAGCATGGCAGACATGGGGACAAAGCCCTGGAAGGAGGAATCTGTACTCACCTGACTTCCGAGGCATGTGCTGAATGGAGCTAGTACCGTCCACAACAGGACTTGCCCAGCCGCGGTAAGTGACAACTTCACAGCTACGCAATCACATCTCACACCGTGTGGCACACAAACACAAGGCTTACGTACTGCTTCTTGTGGCTACTTTCTATCTGAGGCAAACGTACTGGTCCTATATTAATCAAAGACTGTCATTCTGAAAAGAACAAGTAGTTCCGCTTAAAGTAAAATATTAAGTACACAACAAAATAGGTGTTACGTAAATGTAGCAAAAATTAATGATGGAAATGACTAAAGTTTGGGAAATACTGGTTTCCTGGAACTCTCTGTTTTTCCATATCAAATGTCCCCATCCTTGCAACACACTCATCCACCCAGGTGTGTCATAGCTCAAAGGGAAGGCATTTTACAGAGAAGACGTTTGCAATTTTCCATCAAAATTCTCTAAGAAGCGATTAAGGAGGAGGAAGAAAGAAGAGGAGAGGGGAAGAAAGGGCACAAAAGAGGAGGGAGGAGTGGGGAAGGACGGACACAGATACAGAAGGCACTTTCATTAAGATGTTGGAAGCACAGGGCTTGACCTGGGGCTGAAGTCCTGCCCTCGGCCTGGAGGGCTGAAACAGAGACCCCACTGATTCTACTCTACACTGCAATCTCTTCTTCTGGCTATTATTTTATGGCATGGTAGCTTAGCTCAGCCCCGTCCAAAGAATTGCACTGAGGTCTGTGGGACCCGTTCCAACAACAACACACAACGAGGCCTTCACTCTGATAAAGCCAGGAAACCTTCTCTCTGTGATCTGCTCCCCTGCCCCTCCCAAACAAAAATAAAGTCCCATTTAGAAAAGAATTCAGTCAGTCAAATGATGCCTTTTCCTCACCTTCCCTGCTGGAGATGACTGGGTTGCAGGTTCACCTTGAGTGTTCAGGGTGAGCGGAGCTCTAGGACAGAACATTGGGATCTAGTAGCGTGCTCCAGGAGAGAGGTAAACACCTTCAACTGTAAATTCATGGCATCTTCTCCACAGACAAGCAAGGGAAAGCTGGGAGGGAAGCAATGATACCAAAACCTGCACTGTTTTTAATGGAAGCTCCATGAGAGCAAAACTTGTTTTATTCACAGTGCTTTGTAAGTGTACTCAAGGTCTGGTGCTTAGCAGGTATGCACCAAATTGCCATTGAATGGATGAGTGAATGAACTGAATCAGCAAATGAATGAATGAGTAAATGAACAGATGGGTGAAGAAGTAGACAGATGGAAGGGTGGAGGACTGGGTGGATGAGTGGGTGGATGGATGGCTCCAGTAACGACGCGAGGAATAAGAGAAGACCAGAAGATTATTTTCTGGCCTTTCTGCTTAAGAACTAGCAACTGTATAAAATAAAGAAACCCCCAAAGAACTATTCTCTGTTTTCACAGCCACCTCTTGCAAGTGGTAGAGGACTTCTGAACCCTGCAGGATCAGAGTTCACAGCACAGAGCAGCACATACGAATGCCACTCTAACTTTCTCTAGGACATGCTCAGACACCCCAGCCTCTGCTGTGCTCTCCAGTGTCTGGAACAAGGAAGAGCAGGATGAGTCTGGGAATGTTAATGACTTGTGTCAAGTGACCAGACCCTCCTGAAAAGTCTTTTATATCCTAGCTTCTCTCTGAAGGAACTTTTAGTTACAGCATTATTTTTTTCTGTTCTTTTTCTTCTTTTGCTTATCTGCATTTTCTAATACAGATGAACATAGATTCCGTGAGTAATAAAAATGTCTAACATAGACTGATAAAACACACAAATAAGATCATTCCAAAAAGATAGTGAAAACTCATACTTCATAGAATTCTACTTTAACATTTCTACATTAAAATTTTAACACTGTCATTTCATGCAATTATACTCAACTAAGTCCTTTGAAAGTCAAGCTAATGACTTAAAAAATCAGAATATCCAGTCATCCAGACACTTATAAAAGGGGCAACTATCTTTGGGTGAGATGCCAAGAGTATTAGAAAAGTACTGGGATACACGCTTAACAAGTCATATGCCATGTATGGATAAAATATATGTTCTGAATGCATCCGTGGAAATGAGAGGGAGGGAGAAGCTTCTTTGCAGCTCTCCTTCACTGGCAGAAGCTTTCAGAGAAGCCAATAGGGAATAGGGAATTCTCCACAGTAACACAAATGGTTTCTTTCTTCAAGGAGCTGGTTGGTTGGTCCATCCTGAGCTCACCCTTAGTCCCAAAGTAATGGGCCATGCTCTAACCATCTTAACCACCTTAAAAGGGCCCTCAGATTATCCCCTGTCACAACTCACTGTCAAAGTTCAGACTACTGAAGTGATAACAAGGAAAGCTGCCAGCAATCAAAAGACCTGATTTCTTGATCCAATCTAGCCAGAACCTGCCTACCTACTTAGCTACTTTATGATTGGTGACTTCATTTGACCAACAGTGAATAGTGGAAGCCATATCTCACAGGCTAAGGAAAAACTAAGGCAAATATCAAATTTCAGAGAAGAAAAAAGGAGGACAGAAAAGGGAGGAAAAAATTACAGTCAAGTACCACAGAATGAAGGGCAGAGAGCAGGCCATATATACAACAGTATAATACCATACATACTAGGTGTGTAGTAGGCTTTACCATCTAGATTTGTACAGGTATGTACTACAATGTTCATGCAGTAATAAAATCACCTAACAACACAGCTC